GGAAAGAAAAATGTGACTACACGGTTCCATTTTCATAAAATATTAATATAGTACATGCAAAGGAAAAAATATGAATGAATATACAACACGGTATTAAAGTTAGTAACCCTTAGTTCTTAAGATACTTAGTACAAGATACTTTCACTTCTAAGTTAAGTTTCTGAAATGGTTGAGCATTTCATAATGAAAGAAAAACAAAAGATGGGGAAAAAGACAATGGAGACATTTAGAGACCTCGTCACGTGCTCAGCAGCACCCTCTAGTGAAAAAGCACTGGACTGAGCTTGAAGAAGTTCCAATTCTGGCCTGCCACCAACCAGCCCTGTGATCTTGAACAAGTCACATGGCTTCTCTGGGCCTCCTTCAAATGAGGGGGTTGGACTGGACCCCTAAGGTCGCCTCTACTATCACAAACACACTATGAGTTGATGAGGTGAAAGGAGCTTGGTGGCATATTCCACAAACAGTCCAAGAAAAATATTCCTGGCTCTTTTGTCTTCTAATGATTTTAATGACCGTATTGTTTTCCTGAAGGCGAACATGCAAGTATAATTCACTTTCTCCAGCAAGCTGAGGTCAAAAACAAACTTGTAATTACATCACTCATTTAAACAATGCAAAAAGAGCCAGACAGCACTGGAAGATTTAAAGATACAGACAGATCTGCCTCGGACACACACCTAAGCCTCCCTCTTTCTGTCTTTTCCCTCATCTTGAATTTAAAATAAATAAATAAGTAAATAAATCAATGAGCACCTCAAAGTAAGGAAAAATGTGAACATTTTATCAATCTGCCAGTACTTGGCCTATGAAAATATGAGATATTTGCTATATCTGCTGGTTGTTTTTGTTTTACTGTGGTAACTTCTCAAATGAGGTCACAGGAGGCCAAAGTACAAAACACCTTTATTAGTCACATGATTACACAGCAGCTTCCAGAAGTTATCTAGGGAAAGGTATTCAGCCACTGAATCATCTTTCCTTGGTAAATTTTAAATAGGGAATTTTTTTCCAAATAAAACCCCAACAGTGAATTGAGTAAAAGAGCATGCAAAAGTATGTCAAGTCACAAACAGGCCAAAATTATTTTCGGTCAATATAACTACTTATCAAAAATTTACCCAAAAAAGAAAGGGAGGAGATACAACTTTCCTTTCTCTTCTCTAAACAAGGTAAGAGACTCTAGCCTAGCTTTAATCAGAAAATAAACCAAACTGAGCACCTATATGTACTGTACTAGAAATAGGCCCATTCTTATCACCATAATGGGAAGGGATTTTCAAGAGCCACTGGTTGAGTTTTCTAAGCCTCTCTGACCTTCAAATACCACAGGATGCTCTTCCTATTGCCCACATGAGCACCCACAGAATGATTTAAGAGGGGTTAACTAATTATACTTTATAAACAAAGCTGAAAGTAGGTCTTGGTGTAAAGTCATAGCTTTTCCTTTTAAATATATATATACAATTAAATGAAGCATGAGAAGCTTTTGTGTATATTTTTCTCCTTTGGATCCTGATTTTTTATTTTTCCCTCAACACTAGAAACAACTGGTTTTAAATTTCTCTCCAACCATGTTTGGCTGAGAACTGTTAAAAAATTCCAGAAGAAAAGAAAGCAACACTTTTGTGGCTCGTGTGTAATCGGTCTTAGCAAGCTTATTACCTGATCAGTGGGGATCTTTGTTTCCATAGACACTGCTTCCCGAAGTCTGGCGACAGTCCCAGACAGAGGCACAGCCACACCAATCCGCATGCAGTGAGAACATTTCCCTTGATACACTACAGTGACATACAGAGGCCTGTACAGATCAAAGTCAGATATTCTTATTAGTCACTTACTTCAACTAAAATATAGAAGCAGAACAACCCTGATCTGGAATCAACAAAACTAAAGCTAACCCACACCTTTAGTTGGACCCAAGTAGAACTACCAAACAACAATCAAGAACTCTTTGGAAAAGGCAATACAGCATAATAATAAAGGTAACACAACAAAAATACAGCATATCAATACTTGGTTCTGTGCTTTGTATTTTCTTTATAACAGCATAACTCCTAGAAATTTCAAGAACAGTTCAAATAAAGCAGCTAATTAAAAGTGGAACGTAAGGTCTCTAGAGGCTCTAGAAGCCATTCAACAACCTTCTCTGGCCCCCATACTATAGGTGGACGACCTATAGGTGGAACAGACTACAACCAGACCAACCAAAAAGACTTGCTTGCCCCATGCACCTGCTCACCCTGCAAACTCAGACAGCCATTTATAAATTTCTATAAGGCCTTAACAATGCCTGTATTCAATTTATCACTAAGCCTATTACTTGTTTAAATATGCAAGAAGCCCCAACAGGAGCCTACAGAGGAAAAGAACATATAGGAATATAATCTTAATTTTATTAACTCTGTTCTTACCTTGTGTGGGGTAGTGGAATTGGCAAAGAAATGCAGAGGAAAGGATCAAAAGTGTTGCTCTGCTTCTGGCAATGAGGACATGTCAAAGAAGATCTGCAAAAATAAAAATGTAAGACACTCACATTAAGATCACCTAGAACTACATAAGCACACAACATAAGGGAAATTTTAATTTGCTCGTACCTGTACTGGGCTTGAAAAAGTTCTTGTACGAAAGTGCTACAGACAGGAAAAGATGGTCCCTCGGGCATCATATCAGTCTCTGATGGTGGCTAAAAAAAAATAAAGTACAATTTCACAGACTAAAAGTGCCAGCTCTTGATTAAAGATGAGCCTAAAAATGTCACAGATGTCCTTGACCTCACTTACAAGATCTGCATCAGATCCAGATGTTTCAGGGAAACATCTGCTAAAGGGACCAGAACACAGATGCCAGGGTGTGGGTCACATGGACTCATCACCTCACAGGCTCTCCCAGACACAGTGCTTATCCGTCTCTCCACCCCATCCAGGCAGTCGGGCAGTCCTTCCCCAGAGCGCTCCAATCCCCCTCCAACTCTCAAAGGGCCCCCTCCAACCTCTTCCAGGAAATAATCCCAACTATTCAAAAGTACCAATTCCTCCCCTGCCTAAAGAGAATTTTTTGTCTGGCACCTATTACCTCTGCTGCTTATTTGGGCCTAATCATTCTACTTCACATTTTACTTAACCTTTTCATGTCCCTCCCCCTTACAGTTACTGAGCATCAGCTACCACGTGCAGAGAGCAATGCAAAGGGCATTAAGATACAAAGATAGTGAGACACAATGCCTGACCTTGAGTACGTCTCAATCTGGTGGGAAAGTCAGCCGCAAGCATATAGTCATATGATAGTACAGAATGTTCAGGCACAAAGGACCTTGAATCAGAATACTTTAACAACTTACCAAAACTAGGAATTTAAAACTTGAGGTATATACAATGTTCACTGCAGCACTATTTACAGTCGCCAGGACATGGAAGCAACCTAAATGTCCATCGACAGATGAATGGATACAGAAGATGTGGCACATATACACAGTGGAATATTACTCAGCCATAAAAAGGAACAAAATTGAGTTATTTGTAAGGAGGTGGATGGACCTAGAGTCTGTCATACAGAGTGAAGTAAGTCAGAAAGAGAAAAACAAATACCGTATGCTAATGCATATATATGGAATCTAAAAAAGCGGTACTGATGAACCTAGTGGCAGGGCAGGAATAAAGCTGCAGACATAGAGAATGGATTTGAGGACACGGTGGGGAAGGGGAAGCTGGGACGAAGTGAGAGAGCAGCACTGACATATATACACTACCAAATGTAAAATAGATAGCTAGTGGGAAGCTGCTGCATAGCACAGGGAGATCAGCTCAGTGCTTTGTGATGACCTAGAGAGGTGGGATGGGGAGGGTGGGAGGGAGGCTCAAGAAGGAGGGGATATGGGGACATATGTATACGTATAGCTGATTCACTTTGTTGTACAGCAGAAACTAACACAACATTGTAAAGCAATTATACTCCAATAAAGATACTAAAAAATGATAAAAAATAAAATAAAATGAAATTTGAGGTACAGAAAAGAATTATCAAAAATTTTTAAAGCTGTGAGAGGAGAACACTTTATTTCCATTATATAAATTATTTTACCCATCATACTAAGATTACATAAATAAAAACTGAGAATGAATCACTGTTTCTCAGTAAGTATATTCTAAGGGTTCAGTTCCTACACTCAAATCGAATCTTAACAGCAGAGACATCAATACATTTCCTTTTTGATTGTGTATTCACATTCCAATGATCTACAGACTATGTCTCATTGGAATAGAAAGCAAATTTCTGCTTTAAAAACAGTTTAGTGAGATGGAATCCCTTAATGTCAGTCTAAAGGTAGTCATACATGCAAATGTGTCCCCTCTCATGAGAGTGTAAGCTCCTATCTGACACTGCCAGCACAGTGGTAAACAGAGGAAAGAGTCTCTAAGTATCCATGAATTTTATACTCACCCAGAGCTGAGTCAATTTTACTATATTAACTAACTGCAAACTGCAACAACTCCTCAGAGGAGGTTTGGAAGAAGAATCTACACTCACTCCTCACTAGGTTCACAGGTTCACCGGTGGCCTGTGCTGCAGCCACTCACTGCTCCCTGACTGCCCTGAGGGTGCGCCCTTACCTTCAGAGGAGGCTGGCCACTCTGCTTCACAGCATGATTGAGGTCTTCATGAACTCGGTCCAAAAGCCACAGCAGAAACTCCTGGGCGTCATGCTGGGAATTTCCCCGATATTGCAGTGCATTCTTTGACACAATACTCTACACAGGTAAATAAGTCAGCATGAATAGTTGTGAGTTCCTGGCTTTAAACATAAACTATTCATAATCCCAAAGAGGAACGCAAGATCTCAAGGGTGTTAGAGAGTACTTCCTGGAAAGACAGCAAATATGAAAACAGATGCTCAATGTAAAAACCTCACCCATGTACCAAAGACTTTTAAATGCACCTACCCAACAATCTTACTTTTAGGAATATATGTAAAGGAAACCATCAACACAGCATGCCAAGACTTCTAAGATATTCATTCACTAATAGCAAAAAAACTGGTAATAACTTGAACATCTTAAAAATGAAAATTGTTATAAATATCAAATCATTATGTTGTTAACCTGAAAATAATGTTATATGTCAATTATACCTCAATTTTTTAAAAAGTAAAAGAAAAAAATGAGAATTGGTTAAATAAGTATCACAGAATTCGATTATAAACCGAAGTATAAAATAACCAAGTCTACGTAAGGTAAATGACTGAGTGAATAAATAAGTGGGAAGACATAAATCTTCCTTAAAGAAGAATTCTGAATAATTTTTTTTTTTTGCTGTATGCAGGCCTCTCACTGTTGCGGCCTCTCCCGTCGCGGAGCACAGGCTCCGGACGCGCAGGCTCAGCGGCCATGGCCCACGGGCCCAGCCGCTCCGCGGCACGCGGGATCCTCCCGGACCAGGGCACGAACCCGCGTCCCCTGCATCGGCAGGCGGACTCCCAACCACTGCGCCACCCGGGAAGCCCTGAATAATTTTTGTCAATAATCCCCCCTCCAGGAGTCGGACCTTAACGCCCCAACCCGGCCCCACAACCTTGAATATAGACTGTGACAGTGACTTGCTTCCAAACTAGAGTATGCAAAGAGGGGTGGCCATGAATGGCTGTAGGTGAACTGGTTAATTAAAATTAAGATGATGGGCTCTGGAGCATATAGCCTGAATTCAAATCTCTCTGTCCTACCACTATTTGTGAGGCCTGGCCTACCCTGCTCCAAAGTAAAAAGGATAATAATGGTTTAGTGTGATGGTCAAGTGAGAATGCATATAAAACATTTCACATGTAAATGATATATAATAAGCACTCAAATTTTAGCTATGAATATTGGATTTGGAAGTAGGGAGAAAGGAGGGGAGACAACTGCACAAAGAGAGAGCAGTTAGGAGACAAATGAAACGATCAGGCAAGAAACAATAAGGGTCTAAACTAAGTCTGTGAGGGCAAATTTGAGAGAGATTTCAAAATTGGGGCAGTAGAATCAATAGGATTTGTGACCTAATGAATGTGGAAAGTGAGGACGGAGGCATTAATGTCATTCAGGTGTCTTATCTGGATGATGGGCCACTGGTGGTTCCCTTCATCAAGACAAAATAAAAAAGGAAGAAGTCTGGAAAAGAGGATGATGAGTTCCCATTAGAATCCACTATATCTGAAGTTCTGTGGAACCTCCAAATGGAAGTACCTGGCAAACAACTAAAAAAAAACAGATCTGGCACTCAATACAAGAGTCTGCACTCAGGACAAAGATTTGGGGGTCAACAGATGGGTGGTACTTGAAATCATGAGTACGGCTAAGACTGCCCAGACAAGATCATGAGAGATCAAGCCAGAGGACAGAATCCAGAGGACTTCTATATTTAGGGGGCCCTAAAAGAAGACTAAGAAAAGGCCATCAAAGATGTGGCAAGAAAATCAAGAGAATGGAGTCCCAAGAGTCAAGAGAAGAGAGCTACAAAGGAGAGAGTGATCAATTGTATTAAAAGTTGAAGAATGACAAAGTAAGCCAAAGAACTAATAACTGTCCATTGTATTTTCCAATTAATGATAACAGAGATGAAAAGAAGGGATACATTTTTAATTATGAAGAACCATCACAACATAATGATCAATTAGACGTGAATAACAAAAAGATGATCTACAAAATTCGAATTTAAGGAGGAAAAAATCAAAGCAATGCAAATGAGAATATACAAGTGTCACTGGCAAAACTCACTAACTGAACGAAGTGAACAAGGGAGAGAAAGGACCCTGGTAACAAACAAGATTTCAAGTGACTTGAAGGATACCACTTGGGTGCCACCTCAGAAACAGGTACACAAAAGGCGGAGTGAGTGTGGGGAAAAGTCTTCACTACACTACAAAACTTACCCCGGAGGTCAGACGCCACCCACATCACCAAATCTAATTTCTTCTTTCTCAGTCTTCACCTTTTTCATTCTCCCTGTAGCATTTTATATACTTGACATCTTACTCCATCTTGAAATGGTTTGGCTTGTGGCCATGATTATGTACTCATTTAGGAGAACCAAAACTAAAGCCACTGGCATGAAGAGCAGAAGAAAGTGATCTACAGAAGACAGAGACCTCCTAGCAAAGAAAAATGAATCAGTAAAAAAATAAAACATCATCAGCACTAGCAGGTAAACCTGTGGCTGATTCAGGATGGAAGAGAAAGAGATGACTGGTGACACTATATTGAGTGATATAAAGAAGAAATCGGGGATGACACCAAGGTTTTTAGTTTCAGACTTCGGTGCCTAACGAAATCAGGAACTGAGGAAGAGACTGGGGACTGCAGAGCTTTGAACATGTTGAGTTTGAGGTACCTACAGGATCTCAAGTGAGGTTAGGTCTGGTGCTCAGGAAAGTGATCTGAGCTGGAAAGTTAAATCAGAGCACATACACCTATCATATGAGCACAGAGGAAATAGGGAACATTTAATGAGAAAAGGAGGCAGCTGGGGCAGAATCTTATAGAAGGGACAAGTCACAGAAAAGAAGCCCAAGAAGAAGATAAGAGGTAGCAGCCACAAGAGAGTGGCATCACACAAGCTGACGGAGAAGAAACTTCCAAGGAGATGGAAACGATGACGTAAACCACCACAGAAAAGTCAAGTAAGACAAGCACAGAGCCGGGTCCTTTGGAACTGCAAATTAAGAGACTGATTACCTGTGCAATTTCAGTGACACTGATCAGAGAGGCTAAAGGAGAAGAAAAGGTACTGACACTGAATGGTTACAAGAAGATCGCTCCTCATATACAAGAAGCTTGGTTATAAAAGGCAGGAAGAAAGATGCCGTAACTCTGGAGGGGGCACCTACAGGACAGAGGGACTTAAGTGCTGAGGGAAGACGCTAACAGAAAGGAGATACTTGAAGAAAGAGGATTCTTCAGTAAGGGGAGAAGGAAGGATTCAGAAAAGAGGTAGAGGAACTATCTTAAGCAGGAGGTAAGAGAGAAGAGAAGGAGGTAAGGATAGTTATGGATTCAGAGGAGTTATAGACAGGCAGGGAGGGAACCTTTGTTTGTTTTGTGGAGGAAGCAGAGGCCAATTGCCAAGAGGAAGTTTTAGGTACAGCAAGGGTAAAGACAAATCTCATGGCATATAGTTGGGGCTCACACAAAATGCGAGAAGCATAACAAGCTTCTGTTCAGGACCCTCTCCCTTATTTACTCCCAACGGGGAGGGAGGGGTAGTTCTCAGTATATGTATCCTAAGAAACAAATTAGCTGAAATCAAATGCTTCTTTTTGTGTCAAAGCAGATATTTTACGCACGGTGGCCACCAAATTCAGGGTGGAGACAACATTCAGTTCTTTATCAGGATTGCATTAAATCTGATTTATGCTTCCTGCCACTATCACTTCAACTCATCCGGCATTTATCCTCCAATCACTCTGTAAAAGGTGCTGTGCTGAAGCTGCTCAACAAGATTTTTGTTGGGCACGACTAAACAAGCAACAGGACTTCCACAACCCTCTGTAACTAGGGCCAAAATTGCTCTGGGTCAACCCCACCCTAAATCACTGTATCTCAAACTAAATGAAATTTTAAAGGAAACCTCACTGAACATACACGACACAAAGGCTCCTTTTCCCTTCACAATGGTGACTTCTTCCCACTGCAGAGACCCAAGGGACTATTTATTTTACTTCTTCCCCAGAGAAACCGTAACACAGAATAACCTAGTAACCATCCTTTAGCCTGTGTTACAGAAGGAAGAAACATAGTAGGAGTGAAGAAACATAGTAGGAGTCACGAAACCTGGGCTCGGTCTTCCCTGGTGGCGCAGTGGTTGAGAGTCCGCCTGCCGGTGCAGGGGACAGGGGTTCGTGCCCCGGTCGGGGAAGATCCCACATGCCGCGGAGCGGCTGGGCCCGTGAGCCGTGGCCGCTGAGCCTGCGCGTCCGGAGCCTGTGCTCCGCAACGGGGGAGGCCACGACAGTGAGAGGCCCGCGTACTGCAAAAAAAAAAAAAAAAAAGAAACCTGGGCTCAAGCATGGCTCTGCCACACACGGATGGTTATCTTAGGTAACTCACCAAACCTGATTCCTGGTCATACAATGAAGCAGTTGAGCTGGACCACCACAGAGACCCTGGCATCCCATATCTTCACCCAAGCTCTGCCCCTAGAGTCCCAGCAAATGATTTGGTTTTTCTTTTGGGCCACATCTGACACTGCTTTGGTTTGTCTTTTATGATTTTTTTTCTTCCTAATAAATCTTGGTTTATTTGATGTCCTAAAATTAATACTTCTGTATTTTTGCAGTTTTTTAAAAAGTTGATTATCACTAGAATATGTCATCTGTAAATATAAGCACTGCTACAATCTGAGAAATCATTTAACATTAAATTTGCCACTTCTATGAAAACTAGAGAAGAACCTCCTTAAAATTAACCTTACACATCTGTGTCTATTTTATAGAATTTGGGTATGACTCTGGTTTGTAAAAACATTAAACTGAATCTGTTGCTTTAAATCCTTTACATCCTATTACAAATAAATGTAACCATCATTCTAATTTTCCATTCAGGATGATCCCTAACATCTAGTTACTATAAAGTAAAAGTCAAACACATTTGCAGGGCCTTCAAGCCTCATAAAATTTCTTTTTACCCTTCAAATAAAACCTTAAGGACTAGAACTACAGAGAACTTTTTTTTCCCCCTTAAAGGGGGGAAGAAATGAGTTGGAAGCATGGTCCAGAAAAGGA